AATTACAACACTGCATTCAAAGGGATTTGAGATATAAAATCACCTTTGTCATGAACAATTGAACACTGAATAAAGCCAAAGCACCTGAAAATGAAATATTCTGTAATGAGAAGATATTGCCACCAACAAATGACTGTATTACAACACATATTGTAAGAACCATGAGAGATGGCTGCAGAGAAAGCGACCTTACCCCTGCACGTTTTCACATAACGATTTAGTCCAACTTTCCTGATCAGTCTCTGGACCTGAAAAAGCTCTTCTTTCCTTTCGCTTGGAAGCCAGACTTTCAGCACTCAGAAAAGTGCAACTTTTTCTGGGGTGATGGGTGCATGCTGCAGTCCAGGTTGTAGGCATTTGAAACAAGTTCCTCAGCTCCGCCTAACAGCCACTGAAGTGAGAGCACAAAGGTCATGCCGCAAATGAAGTTTTACTGACAGCCCCTCCAGGCTGTCTAAATCTGATTTTGATTTGCTGGTCATGCAGTCCACATACATTCAGAAGCCAGAAGGCTTAAAATCTACTATCAGTCTATTTTATTACTGCTCAGAAAGTAATATCTCAATATTTCACCAATGGCTCGGCAAAGGCTTGATTCTTCTGTGCATGTCCGTAGCAATACTGTTCTCCATTAAGAACTGTGCAGACGGGGACAAAGTAAGGGAAAAAGGATACACAGATTTCCTAACTCGATTTGCTGGCAGTTCTCTGGCATCAAATGCTGGTATTAAAGATCTGCAGGCTTATTACCTCATAGGCATTCAACACTCTCATTCCCTTGTTAGTCTGCATCCTGTACAAAAATCGAGGTTTAGCTCCATCAGCCAGTCTGGCACCCACAAACCTCCACCTCCTGCTTTCCCTGCACCCCCCCAAGGCCCAGACTTTCTACCCTCCAGATTCACATTATGGGAATTCAGTTATTTTATTTCACCAACAGTTAATTAACAGCAAATATGCACTAATGTTTTACTGATTTTGCTCATAAAGCATTTATTCAGTACTTCACTTTATTTTGGAGCTGGGCCTAGGCAGAAGAAAGGGTTCCAGGATTAGACCCTTGTTGAGGGCAAAGGTGTGGCTAAACTGTGCTGAGAATTCTTCCCTAGCTTCTCTTCTTTCACCAGGTTAAGAAGATCTAAGTAGGTCCAGTTCTTGTTCTCTCTTTAAAAAACAGAGGCTTTTAACACAGAAGAGCAAACGTACAGAGAGCAAAAGCAGCACAGGATCTGGCAAATGACTGTCTCACTCAGAACTTTTGGGCCACCCTATGCATTCAGATCTGCTTTAGTTTCCAAGTTTGGTTTTGGTGCTCTCATTACTGAATCCTTTGGTGAAGATGCTTCAATCCAGAGTGCTGATGCAAAAATCCCAGAACACCAAACCTTTGTAATAGAAATTCTGATAGCTTTATCTGAAAGTAGCATTGGCGGGTGCTGGAAGATTAATGGTATATCCAGGGCCTGTACTGCACCTCCAGAACACAACATTTTCATACTGGGCAGTAAAGTCACGATACAAATATCCCAGCATTTATCTGGGAACTGTAATGAAACACACATCTATCTGTTAGTCAGGATCCCTTTCGGATGACACCGGATCTTGCTATAGTAATATCCCTGATTTGGCACAGAAAAGGCACCTGAGAGCAAAGCAGATCCATGGACTTCACATGGATTAGCTAACACAGCTCAATTCTGCACTCTTTTAAAGTCCCTGCAGAATTAGGACCCTTAATATGTTACAGCCACGCTTAACATTGGAAAAAAATACTACACTTTGGTTTGCATCTGAGTGTCAGCTTAATGTCAAAATGTATTGTGAGAAGAGAGAAGTAAGTTTTAAGGCAACAGTAATTTCCTCCTATTATACTTACACCCCCACACCTGCCCATGGAACAACGTCTAATTCGTTAATAAAGGAAGGCAATATTTAAATTATGGTAACAGACCTCTTCAGCCTGGAGAAGCAATCTCGTTCATTAAGGATGCTCTAATGTTCCTTAATTTTATTCAGTATTATGGGTTCATTTACAAAACAGACATTATGATTATTGAAATGACAATTCTGTATAAGAAAGAATTCACTGACACATTTAATTTTTACCCATCTCCAAATCACTGTCATATCAGCCTATCCCTCACCTGCTCATACCCACCCTTTTCAAGCAGCTTCTGAAAAATTCCTTCCAATTGCTTCAAAGGTACTCATGCCTTGATCCTACAAGCACCCGTGAGCAAACAGAAAACACAGCTTCTTGAAGAACAGGGGGTATTTTTAGATTTGTAAAGAACCTTTTCAACAAATAGGAAATTCAGTGAAATGTGCAGTTGTCATTTTCCCCATTCAGTTTTCTTATTTGCCATGTTGTTTTGACTGGGAAAAAAGTAACAAGTTGGGGGAGAGTGAATTAGCATAGCTCTCACTATTGCCTGTGACATCCTTTATGTACGGCTTGCTGAAAACCCTTAGTGTTGAGTTCCCTTCCATCAGAGAAGATCTTCCTAGCTCCAGAGTGTGTCCTTTCCTTCAAGCCATAAAATTCTTCTGGGACAGAGGCCTCTTGTCCCCACTGAGCCTTCGCACCACATCCAAGCATCTCCCTCCCTTGTGCCCTTTTGCATAGACAAGTACGAATTTCAGACAGACCGGTTTTAAGGGAGGAGACTCGAAGTGGTTGAATGCAGCACACCCTGGCCACTGGGACACGCAAATGTGGGGTTTCACCCTTTGGGCACCACAGGCAATTGCACCAGGGCTTCCCACGTCCTTGGTGAGTGGCTGGAAAGGCATCAATTTAGAATTGAACTGCTTCTCATTTTCTCTTAGAGAACCTAAATGAAAACTTCTTTGTTGAGAAAAACTTCAAAAGTTTTACATTTATCTTGAATCAAAAGCATTTTCCTCCCCAATTTTTTTCATTCAGCTACCATACCAAAAGACTCAACTATGCATGCAACCCTAAATTGCATTGCACACTGATGGATACAGTCACCTCCTTATTTCCATTGCATTGAGTTCTCTCTACCGGTCTCTATTCATTCAGTCTACAAAAGAAGGCATTTGTAAACAGAAATTGTTAATATTTCTAGAAAATAAAATCATATTCTAGAATTACTGCTCTCATTTGTGACCTCTTAATTCTCACAAAGCAGGTGATCCTGGTTAAATGACTAAAATGCAAACATCTGCTTATTCCCCTCTGAACAAATGGATTAATAAAGCTGAAATGACACAGTTAATGGTGTGGATAGTCTACCACAAAAGTGTGATCATATTTCAGAACATTACACCTAGCTCAATTTTAATGAAATTAAAATAAATTACTATTGCTATTTCCTCAGCTATTTTAAGCCACCTATGATTTCATAAACAATAACAGCAAGGATAACATTACCAAATTGTTGGAAGAAAGAATTTATTCAGTAAAGAAAGAAATATAGTCTTTTATGTGTAACCACTATATATAATATTCTGCACTAAGACATAAATCTGAAAAAGGCAAAAATATCTGTAATTATGTAAGAAAGTTCTAGTCAAAGCCCCAAAACTGCACAACTGACAAGGAAGATCTTATTGCTGTGTACTGCTTCCAAGAAGCATGCCATATAGTTTTTTTCTGAAAGTGAGGAGTATGCATGAATTATTTAAGAACCTGCCCATTTGTTCCCAAAACTATTTTGTCATGTAAATGAGTACAGTTCCAAAATTTCCTGGAAAAAAGTATGTCCCAGAATTTGATCCAAGATGAAGTCTTCATTGTTCACATAGGATTCACATTAAAATTTCCAGAGTATCAAACTAGTAACTTCATTATCACACAGTGACATCTTATGAAAAAAGTATAGCTCCCTTGAAAGACGTAAATCATTATCTTCCCATAACGCTTCAAAATCATAGAGTTCACATTGCACCAAACCTGTGACAAAGCAGCTAATAAAAGAACAATTAACTCCAAAGGCTGCAATACAGACTTACTGGTGAGTTTGGCAGATGCATCTGATATTGAAAATGGATGCTGGTCCCCAGTACAAACCACATGCACCACAGCACAATCTTTGATTTTAGTAGCGTTCTTCAGGATCAAAATGGACTGAGGCAGCTGAGACAAGGCAGCAAGACTCAGCAGAGATGGAGAGTTAGCAGATTCTGGGCTCTGAAGAGTGCTGTTATTTTGCTGCAAATATCTGATACTAAATTCATTAAACTTGTGTATCATTTCAGTATGGAACAGCAGACAAGGATGAAGCAAGATTCGTTCTCTGAAACTAAATAGTTTAAAACCAAATCATATAAAGTATCTGTAAACTCTTTTTAATTCAAAACTGGATGATTTAAGGAATATTTATTCATTCATTCTTAAAGAGTCCTTCTTTTTTTATCTTCTCATTTTAGACATAGAGCTGACATCAACAGCCACATGATGGAAATCACGAGCTCCAGCACATGCTTAATTTAAGGCTCATCCAACAGTTCCAAAATACTTCAGAGACATGCATTTCAGTGCCTTACCAAACGAGGTCTGCTTAAATTTATGACAAATCATAACTGTATATTAAAATAAACATTTCTTCAAAACTAGACCAAACTGTAACTCCCCATGGCCTAACTCCATCAGAATAATTCAAATTGTGTCTAAATCTTGAATAACTCAGAGGATTTGAAAAAGAGTATTACTTAACCAAAATAGTTCATGATTTAAGAAGTACCCAGTTCTGCAGGTTTATGGCAAATTGAGAATTTGCAAATGTTAGACTTAAAAAAAAAAAGTAATTAAGTGAAAGCACATGTTTAATTATAGTTATTGGAAGGGGTATCCATAATTACTAGGGAAACTAATTTCGAGACAAAGCATTATGTGACATATATAATTATGAGAATAAAAATAATGAGTATATATTAACCGGAAGAATATCTCAATCCTGAGAGCTAAATTTAAACATTTTTTTTTAACCAAGTCAATCTATACATTCTCAGTTAGACTTTAACACAATACCCACCTTAGAACACATGTGTAGAAACCACTGTCTTGCAACTCAACCGAATGAAACCATATTGAATCTTCATCCTTGCTCATCCTAACTTCAGAAAATATAATGGGTTCTTCTAAATCTCCTTTGTTTTTGTACCACATAAGCCTAAGACCTGTGCTTTGGGCCATGCTATAATTAGTTCTGATATAGCTGTAGAAAAGGGCACATTTCACTCGGACTGGTTCACCTGCCAAAGCCATGTATGTCTTGAGATCCACTGACCAGTCAATGCAACCATCAACTGAAAGCAAAACAATAATAAAGAAATATTAGATACAGATATATTTCTTCAAGATAGTGAAAGGCAGCTTGTGAAATGCAATGCAATTAATTAAAAGAACCTTTGTTTTATAGCAACGTGAAAAACCTGAAGCAGCTATTGGCAATTAAAGGGTTTTATACATGTTTTTTGGTTACATGTAAATGCGAATGTGCAGGCAATAAGTAGAGCACATTGGGCCAGCTCAATTCCATTTCTTTAGAATATCATTACTTTCATCCCCAAAACATTAATACTTCAATAAATAAACCAAGGATTTTCACCTTAATTACTTGTGCCTTTAAATCAGTTTTGAATTCTTTAATTCCTTGTTGGAGGAAAATGTATATTGGCATCTGATCCCAATCTTATACTTTAAAACTTTTCCATCCACCTCTGCTAATTACATTACATAAAAAAATAAATAACAGATATGACATTTATCATTTTCTTTTCAAGGCAGTTCCACATAGCTTTTTCTTTTTTCTACAGCCTACTCAAACTGTAGAGATATGTATTACATACAACAGGATACAATTACAACGTGCTACCTCTGCAATCAAGCTTAGTACAGGAGTTGTACAAATATGAAAAGGGATCTTTGATGTTCTGTTCAGCAAAAAACTTTTGAAATAGTTTTTTTGATACTTCACTTTAAAAATGAACATGTGTCAGCCAGTTTAATAAAAGATTACTTCTCCCTACAATTTTTTCTCCCATTATTTTAAATCATCTTAGTTACACTATAATCCTAGAACATGCATATCTATCAACATGTAACTTCCCCCTCACATATTAGAGAGCTTTTAATTCAATCTTTTTTATTGCTGGAAAAATCGTAAGCCTAAAAGTCAACCAGGAATATAACCAAAGAAAAAGACTGCAAAGGCAGATAATCCATAGGCAAATACACTATCTAAAATTAATAGACTTGATGAAATGTGTCATTTTTAGAATTTATTGATCATATCCAGCTACACGTAAGTGGAACATCTTTACCCTTGATGTAGCTACCTCATATTCAACCAAGTAAGGTTCAAGTTGCCTCTTCTGCATTTACAGTATCAATTTTCAAACTCTTGTTAGATATTCTCATACACTCTTCATTTCATATACATCTTCAATAGCATTCACTCATAAAATGATTTTTTTATTTACTTCCTAAACAAATGTAGTGAGACAAAATTTCTACATGTGGTAGAATATCAGATCTAGTCCTTTTTTTTAGCGGTTTTTACTGTGTTTAAATTATGTCTGCCACTTTTTCAGGCTTCTCTTGAATCCTTCAAAACTAACCATGACAAACAGGAGGTTTTAATTTTCCCATTGCAGTAAATCAGCTTTAATTGTACTGCAACTCCATGAACTATGCAACTGAGCCATATTTTAAACTTGTTGACGCTGACCACTTCCATACATTTCCAATACATAAACTTCCAGATAACATCTTCTTGTAAAACAAACCAACATAGGCTCAAGAGGGAAGGGAAACCCATTACTCAATTCTACACTTTTAATGCATCTACTGTCATGAGGATCAAGCGCTGCGGATCAGGTTGCCTGCTCCTGCCACCCAGCCCACAGCAGATGCAAAGGCAGCAGCTGGTTGGACCAACTGACTTTTTGCTCCAACAAGAAAAGCCCCCAAATCAAAACGTTCACCTGAAGTTATGTACACACAGTTGCAGTTAGCTTCAATTTTCAATTCCGTTCTCATTTTGCTGAAAGCATTCTGCTGATTTAAATTAAAATTCATTGCTTCTTGCTTTTAACGACTACTGTTAATGACATAAAATGAAAGGCCGGTAGCAATTTACTGACTTTCCTCTCCTTCACAGCTGCAGCATCATTTCTTCCTCTGTGTTACCGCTCTCATAGCTTAGTGCCACACAGAACAAGGCAAGTTTGGATAATCATTACTTGAAAACCATGTACTGAAGTATTTGTTCTCAGTGCATCCCCTCCAGGTCTGTAACATCCTTCACCATGACCAGAGCCGCACACTGCACCTCATTCTCTTGCCAAGACCCCATGAAACACCGCATTCACCTCTCTCTGCGATGGTGTTGCACAGACACGGGCAACCAGCCACAGAGCTGGAGGAAAAAAAAAAAAAAATCTAATTCTTCCAGTCCTACAAACCCATCCAATCCACTTTTACATTAAAGCCTGGTTCCAACATCATAAATTGTTTTATACAGGTGGTTTTGAGGACATTTACATCGAGCGGGTATCAAGGTACTCCATACACAGCTTCCTCACAACAGCTCTGTGCTTTTCTTAAGCCCTGCTCTTTAGGCTGCTGTGAGTTTATAATTACAGAGCAGCACAGAGCTTACAGCTGCCTTCTCTCAGCAAGGGATATGAAAGGCAATGCTGAGCTCTCCAGATGGTTCATCCTCATTCTCCAGGACATACAGGTATTCTCAAAGGCACCCTTCCTCCTGTGTTTTAGCAAAGTCACAGAAATCTAAGTAGGGGTGTAAGTTGAAATGAATAGGGGTGCCCAGAACTGCAATTTAGATCCAAACTAATTCAGTCAATCTAATTAATTCTGCCAGTCTTCTGTCAATCTAATCATGTCATGTCATCTAATCCTTTTGAACCTGTGCTGGTTCAGCAAAATTAAACCACAGTAAAGAATAATTGATATTGAGACACACATGGAAAACCCATGGGTCAAGCAGAAAGGTGCCAGTTTTTCAGTTCTTTCACAGAGCAGAGTCACAATTAGGAAGAGTTATGGAATTACGTACTGACCCAATACAGAAATTTCAGCTTTGGAAATGCCTCTGCTTCCAATAAAATTTCTCCCACATCCACACCAAACAACTTGTCAAAGCACAGCTCAAATGAACACTAAGCATCCTCCAGTGTCATTCAATCTGCCTCATCTTCCACTTTCATTTGAAAATTTCTTTCCCCTTCTAGTGTGCACTCCTCTACTATTTTATTTTCCAAATTACAACTGCTGGAGTATACAAAGCACAGTGGAATAGATGAAAGACATTTGAATGGTAATTTACAGCCAGGTCATTAGAGTGCCTAAAACTCAGCTCCAGCGGCCGCCAGTGAGGAGCAAGGCTGTGGGGCCGGCGCACCCCTGGCCATTGCCAGTGCTCCAGTGGAGGCCCCAGGCATGGTGGCCTGACCTCAGCCCAGCACCTGCATCTCAGAAGAAGGAAAGAAAGAAAAGGAGATTTACACTAGAGACTTTTTTCCCATTAATAGTATCCGAATGGAAGAATTTCAGCAGCCAGCAGCAAGGCTGACCCCAACACAGCAAGTGCAGCGGAGGGGGGAGGTGGAGGCAGGCTGCCTGCCCATCGCCCCTGCCTGCTCCGGCTGCGCCCCTGCAGCAGCTCCCTGCCCGCGGCATGCCAGGAGGTGGTAATTACGGAGGGGAGAGCACACAGGGAACAGAGTAACCATTCATTATAGGGTTGATGACATCTGCAGAGGGGAAAAGCCTCACTGAACGCCTTGACTAAATCTTAATTATTGAAGAAAGACTAATCAAACAGGAGATGACTTTTTCCCCTTGCTCTTTTTTTCTTGTTAAATACACAGTCAAGAATGTTTCCTCTTATGAAGCTGCAGAGGCTAAAATCTAGGTCAGGCTCCCCGCGCTCACGTGGAAGCTGGAATTTTTCCTCTTGCTGTGCTGTCAGTCACTGGAGCGTGAGCATTGTTAGATTCGTTTGGAGTTTTCCAAGCTGTCATTACAAATGACTGGAGCTGCTTAGGTGGAGTTTAGCACTCCATTATCCAGAACAAAGTTTGCTGTCATTTTTGTTGGGCTGGCCATCAATACGTAATATAATCAGGGTGGTAAGAAGAGAAAAATAATCGTATTAGAGGGAGGCACTTATTATATAATAAATGTATATAAGTTTTTTTCTCTGCTACCCAATAATCAGCTGATCCTTAATAAGTGCCTGATTGAAAGCCCATTCAAATTAAATCCTATCTATTATGGGTATTCTTTAGATACTTTCAATGAAGACAATTATTTGAAATATTTTCTAAAATTTGGAGCCTTGAGAGGATATGGAAAACATTGCCCCATTTTTAGCCCAGCTTCTTAAGGAAAAGAGGTTTGCCCATCTATCTGCCAGTGCCCCCACCCCATTGACCCAACTGACTAAATTCAATCCTATTTTGTAGAACATGAAAGTGTTTAGGTAGATGAGAGCCCTACATGGGTGCAGAAGAGAGTCCCTATGTGTCCCCCGCGGGTAGTAAAACACAGCAGTAGTTGATGACAGTGGTGCCCCTCCAAGCCCATCCCAGTTATCTATCCAGGCTAATACAACCTGAGGAGATAGTGAATTGAAAATGAAGGTTTCAAAATTATTAAGCAAATGATAGATTAAGCTGGCTGATAATAAGTTACTGTACTTTCATGTTAGCAGTCACCCAAAGAGTGTACTGCATCTCCTTCCCCAACATTTCCTGGTAATTTCCTATTGTTCTTATTCTAAATAAATCTAGTTGTCTAGGGAGTCTAGATGCATTTTAACATGAACCGTAATAATTTATGAGCAATTATAGAAGAGCATGTACATAGTCTCTGAGTAATTTGTCTTTCCGCTTGCTGTCATATAAATAATTTTTTGCATTGTGAATCTGCCTGTAATAATTTTTGTAGGGATCTGTCACCTACAACGATTTATATCATGGCATTGTTAAACATGTTTGCCTACCTTGTTACCTGAAAATCTCATTTTAAATTGAAATCATCTACAAATAAATAATTAAAAAAAATACTAGCTACTGTATTAAATTTATTGCTCCACAAAGCAAGCAATGCTTGTGACTGTAAATACATAGAAAAAAACCCCAATGTTCCTCTGATACAAGAGTTACATTTTTATTTATATATTAGCCATAGAACAGCAGAGTCCAGGAATTGATATCCATCACGCTCGGGGTCTGCAGACAGGTAGCAATGACAGATGCATCCCATTAAGGAAGTCCAA